GCAATTTATTAACTTATCTTGGAATGTGTTCAGAGCTATGCTAATGCAGCCTTCCACAGACACTAAATTCCCCCTTAGATGAAAATTAACGCAGTCGAGGAGAAGCCTAAGGAGCCACTTTGGGAGTTTGTTGACGAATAAATATCAATTCGGAGATCTTGACTAATGTGATAAATTTGTCGACCTGCTAGGGTTAGTGTCATCAATATAGATTTTTTTTTTGTATTCTGACGTGGCTAGGTTCAGAAGTCAGCAATGTGGATGCATGAGATATTATTGATGTGCGTCCATTCTAGGACATCCCATGTGTCTGGATCATTTTAGTCATCAAGTTGTCGCATTTAGTCCTCACCAAATCAAATTAGATTAATACCCTACAGGAAGAATCTCTATGAACAAATGAGCTCCCAATTCCTTTCACGGTAAATAAGGAACACATATGTATGTTCATAGTTGATCATTTGTTAACTTTGCAGATGAAGATCAAAAATTTATTATGCAATTTATAAAGGTTATTTTACCACTTCATGGCTGCCCATTCGATAGGCATTGAGCCAAACATCCGCCAAGCAGATTGTAGAATGAAATCGAAAGAAAATAATCAGCGGAAGTGAGAGATGAGTGATGATTTTCCATGCAATATCGGAGTAGTGTGTGCGATGAATCTCGAACTTCACAGCATGCTTGAGTCCAAATGTACTCGCTATCCACAGGGCTAGATTAAGAATGAGTAGAAAGGTGATGATGCTCCTACCGGGTTTGTCAATCATCTGCTGTTCACTGGTAACTTGACTTCGAGAGGCCACCAAAACCAGGAATGCCTAAATTTATATAATAAATATGTAATATCTGTCAAAAACTATAAGGCGTATGAAATTGGAAATAACTTGTCAAGGCGTAGAAGAAACGTTTTGCATCATTTTTTCACATTTGTCCTGTTCAATCCAATCAATAAATCGCAACAGAGCCACCTTAAGCGTGCAGACAGTTATGGCGCCAGCAAAATTTTAAAAACCAGATAATTATAATTCAAATTGCAATTAATCCGCATGTATGGAAATATTCGTCAAATTAACCATTAGTCACCCATTAAGGAAAGGGGATTTCGTTTTTTCCAGATGTTCGAATTTTCCTTCCACCCACAGTATTAAAGATTCATTAACTGAAATTAAATCTGGTAGATAATTTGCCAATATACTTAACTCTCAAATGTAATCATTCCGATATCAACATTTCTCTGAAGTAATTCCACCAAATTGAACTCTTTTCCCACCACTAAGTACCAGCATCATGCTTAACACCGTTAAGGCCAAGTCGAAACCTTGGAGCGAATTTAAAAGGATCTCTTTCGAAACAATAGCTTGAGTGTAAAAAGAAGATTTTAGTAAGAAAATAAAATTTCAGTAGTTTAAATTGGGCGCATATACCGTCTTAATCGTGCAATTAAAAGAGCTGATTAGCTTGACAACTTACGTATTTATAGCCAATAGAATTTCTATTTGCGAAAGTAACGCAGAGAAACCCCTATACTTGTCATTTCCACACCAGCTTTTTTTAATAAATTGACGGTCGGTTAAATATTATTTTCCTGGAAAAACTCTTAAAACCATTTGATGAGCGTAAGAGCACAACTAAGGCAGTAATCTTTTCCACAATCCTATTCTTCACAGTATATATATATATATATATATATATATATATATATTGCTAAATGATCCTAAACGTTTCATCTGATATCTTTTCGGTTTTTGAATATCAATCAAAATTCGGAATTTAATTTGGTCTCTGTATAATATTCAAATTTTTAAGTTCGACCATTCTGATTGGATCAGAGATCGTTGCTAGGTGAAGTCTTTTATTTATGAGCCATTTAGCAAAGCAAATTTATCACTAAAAGGGG